GGCACTAAGACATGCCAGTTGTGTGATGTGTTCCTTCACCGTACCAGCGTGTTAAATGCACATACACAGCCGGAATTCGTACATACATCCTCGCACAGTTAAGCTTTTTGTGTTCGAACATAATTGGGTATATTAATGAGTTAGGAGGACAATGTCTTTGTGGGAAACTGGCGAATTGCCAATGCATTGTTGTCATGCGTGATACATGTTTTATTATTGGATTTATGTGCGTAGAGGTTTACCGTGAACTAAGTTGGTTATAACCAAAGGTCGTAGGTTCGATCCCCGGCTGTGCACCAATGGACTTTCTTTCTATGTGCGCATTTAACATTTGCTCGAACGGTGAAGGAAAACATCGTGAAGAAACCGACATGTCTTAGACCCAAAAAGTCGACGGCGTGTGTCAGGCACTGGAGACTGATCACCTACTTGCCTATTAGATTTAAAAAGGATCATGAAACAGATTCAGAAATCTGAGGCCAAGACCTAAAGAGGTGGTAGGGCCACTGATTTTTTTTATTTATAATAATCAAAGGAGGATCTTACTTCCGTATACAATTACATCCAGTAATTAAGGGCAGAAGTACCCTACTGTTGAGGAAGTGGAACTTGTTTTGCTCGGAGAGCAACTACACAATAATGTGACAAGTATGAAGACTTGGCTGGTCCATTACGGACATGAAACGGACAATTCATCCGGTACGAAGTAACTTTGTTTTTACCGCAAATCACCGCTATGTGGCTGTAGTATTTCCGTACCAATTCGACTCAGGGTTCTTTTAGAAAAGAGCTTACCAATCTTAAAAGGCCGGCAACGCACTCGCGAGCCCTCTGGCATCTGGCTCTGTAGTAAAATAATCTAGTCTTAGAAACTCCAATCTTTAATTTTGAGTTGCTTAGAAGTTATGTTTAATATGATTGAAAGTGATTTAATGTATAACAACTAGGGCATCGAAACTCGGTCCAATTTTTAAAACCCGGGTTTTCGGGTCTAAGAGTAATCAAAACCCGGGTACCCGGTTTTTTCGGGCATTTCGGTCTTTTTATTGAATTTTTTTTCAAATGCACTAATCTGCGTTTATATATCGATTTCCTACAATTAATACAAAATATAAAGGATGAGGAAGAATTTAAATAAATGAAACAGTACTTTACAAATTACAAAAACAATTTTAATGTTTAAAAAAGTGATAAATATTTATTTTTTCTTCAGAATATCTTAAAACTTAGTAAGTAATCTAGTATTTTTTAAATCACAGACTTGCAGAGATTAGTTTTAACATTAAATGAATTATTTTGGAAACATTGCCTTATTGTATTTAAAAGCTAATAAAAATAAAATCTTCAAAAGACATTTTTGTAGTATCACAATTAATTTTAATATTAATAAAGCTCTTCTTCGCATTAACAATTAAGTAACGAATAATTCTAGTCTTCTATTCTACTATAATTTAAATTGCAGTCGTTTTCTTAATAATTAGGTCTTTCTATAAGTACCTAAAATATTAAGTAAAAAGTAGTTATGCATTTGACACATTATTTAAGACATAACCTCTGACCATCTGACCAAGATTTTCTAAAGAGAAAAAAAGAGAGGAACGCTCTCGCTGTCGCGTACCGCCATTCTCGAAGAGTGCTATTTCTACCCTCACAGTAGGTAAGCAAATCGTCTGATGGACAAGCTGATTCAGTTTCAGGAGCATTATTATCAGTAGCAACAGCTTGACTTAACTGTCTGTTCAGTTCCTCTTCATTTGTCAAAGTAGACAGCTGAATGTCAATTTCTCGCAGGTCTTGGTCTGGCGCTGGCAAATTTTCAAGAGGTATATTTTATTTTTTGGTTGTGCGTTTAATCAGATTAACAATTTCGTTTAGCATTTCATTACCTGTAGGCCGATAAAAACAGTTTTATCTTCATTTTGAATGTTCTCAAAATATTTACCCGGATTTGTCAAGTAGGTAGTGTAGTGTGGCTGCTTGAGTTAGTATTTTTTTTAGGTATCGTTTGCCAAATGCAGTTGCCATTTTGTTACTTAGTGGTGTCTTCATTTCATCCATTTTCTTCAATGAAAATTTTAGGGAAACATCGGTGTAAGTAATGTTGCATCGCGTCGACATAGCGCCTCGACGACAGTTTTAATAACATCCAATATTGTTTGGATCTCATCTTTATTTCTCCAGTCATCATCAGTAAATACAATATCTGTTTTTAAATCAATTAAAGCTTTTATTTAAAAAAAATCATCATCGGCAAAACCCCGCACAACGCGCGACAAGCTTCGCTACACCCTCCCCTCTCCACTGCTCCCCACTTCACTCTATTCATGTCTTGAGATGGACGCGCGGAACGCGAATTTAGCTCGCAAGGCTTGTTTTATTGGTAGGAACGTAGCAACGAAGCTACTTTTTACGTAATAAAGAACAATTTATCAAAGCGTCTTTTTATTCCATTTACTTATTATTGCATTCGAAGTGGCTTTAACTAAATAAATAACAATAACAAAAGTATTAAAAAAACCCGAAAAACCCGAGTTTTAAAAATTAAAACCGGGTTTTTTTGTAATCCTCAGAACCGGGAAAACCCGGGTTTTTTCGGTCCGGGTAAACCCGGGCTCGATGCCCTAATAACAACCTACCGCTGAAACAGTTTAGAAAAAAACAAAAAAAGTATATAGCAGAGCGTGGTTTCGATCCACGGACCTCTGGGTTATGGGCCCAGCACGCTTCCACTGCGCCACTCTGCTCTTGGACATATCTTTGAAAAAGCGCTTTAGTTACTTTATTAAGCTACAAATATTAATAAACCTAGTTATTATTACACTTGACACAATTTAACTACTTTTGTTACCATTACTATATATACCCATTATTCTCTAAGGTAAGGCATAAATCGCCATAAATGGAACTCAATTCCTACGAAGAAGGTTTCTTAATTATAATTAAGTACATATATGTATATGTTTTAAACCTTTTAAGATATAAATAAATAAATAAAGTAAATTGTTAACAAGATTTGTCTCGTTTTAGTACAAAGGTACACATTAAAGTTTTTGTCAATTTCACGTCATATTTGAGTGATAGAGGAGTGCGCTCACAAAGGGTTACAAGTCAAAACTTTTTTGAAATCGTAGCGTTATTTGCTTTATGGATTTAGATGAGGCGGTCGTTGTCTGTGAACACATCAGAGAAAATAAAACTGGGTACACCCCGTTTGTGTTTGTGCCAAAATATTATTTGTAGGTTAGCTTTAAAGCATATTTATTTATTATATTATTAATTTATAGTCTGGCTAATGAAAGAAGATAATTGAATTATTTGAAAACTTTCGGATGGCAACACAGAATGTCATTGAATTTATTAGGTTAGTATGATTTATTGTCTTGATACTTCATGCAATTACTCATTGTTATTTCTATTGTATATTTTTTCCGAATAGTTAACAGGTATAACAGCTTTGTTTTATTTGATATAATATAACGTTTCTTTCGCAGGAAGTCTGGAGGATGTAGAAGGAGTCGATACAATAGTGAGAACTATTGGTAAGGTTACTGATTTACCAGAACTTTAAAGAAATAGAATTTTTTTTAAATTCTGATTTTGATTATTCCGTGTTTTATAATAAAATATAATTGTAGTTTTCCATGCAATGCTAGTCATTTTAAGTATCAATAGAAAAAGACTAAATACGTATAGTATTGAATTTTATAGAAATACAGTTACTATCAATGTAAAAAATAATAAAATAAAATCAAGTATCAAGTATGTTTAATCCACAAAATATATCAAACTTTTAGGGATACCATACAATTTTTTTTTAATTTGCCACGCTTTTTCGTTGTCTTCTTTCATTAGCCAGACTCTATTTTGGCATAATGGCTTACACAAAACATAATATAGTTATATGCTGAGGCGGGCTTTTTTGTAGGAGTATTTAAGATAACATTTCCATCATACATTACGATACCATGTCAACTCTAGCTTGACAGCGCACGCCAGAATAGCTCGCAGATGGTAAATGTTTTCCTACTTATATTTTGGGCAATTCACACAATATCTTTATAAATTGTAGACTATATGTTATTCTGATGTATAAGCTATATTATTTTAAAGTTAATGGTTAATGGTTGCAGCTCCTTACAAACGTTGTGTAAAAAAAACCTGGCGATTAAAAAGAGTGGCGGAGAGTTTATTGCCAGTTATTGTCCGTTTACGCCCTTGATTTGAGAACTGGCACTAAATGTAACATTAGAAGCATTAACATGTATTTCTTTACTGACAAGTCATAAGTGTACAATGTGTTAAATGATTTTTGATTGATTGATTGATTGTTTCCCTTGCTAGCTTGCTTATGTTCTATTTAATATGTGTAAATTTTGTGATGTCATATTGTTTTGTATAAACACGTTGTTTTAAAACTTATTAATAAATAAACACAACTGGAACATATATATTTATTATATGTAAAAACAGAAGTTTCTATTTACAGAAGTAAAAAATGGTCTTCTGGTTGTACATAGTTCTCATTTAATTAAATTTAAATGTAGTTAAAAAATCTAATTGTAATATTGTAAACTAAAATTTAATGATATATTAAAGATAGATATTGCTAAGTCCAAATTGGAGTTTATTTAACAATCGTACTCAGAGTTGTTCATTAAGTGATTATTTCACTGCCTTAAATTATAAAAGTTATAAAATAATTGGGGAATTAAATCTTGCATCGTATATGTATTAATCTACAATTAAATATAATGAACAAATCTGAGTACGCTGTAAGTACATCAGGTAGTTTTGTAAACATTCTAAATTATAGAAATATAAATCTCCAAATTACTTTAAATTTCCGATAACTTTTTGGACAATCATACATCAATAATTTAGAAAAAGTGCTTTCAAGCTTCTCAGAAGCTTCGAAGCTTCGAGGAAATAACATTATTCGATTCCAAAAATAACTCATAGACTGGTTAAATCTTCCTTAAAGCCGTTTCAACGCCAAATAATTAATATAATCGTTCCCCATCAAAAGGAGCTCCGTCCAACTCTGGCTGCCTGGTACCTTCTGGTGGGAGACCCCATCTAGGCCGACACCCATTATGGGCGTGGTACCGTGGTATCCTATCATCCCTAATCATTTCATAGGCAACTCTTGCTGTACTATTCTGGTATTCTGATATACCGGTCTTGTATAGACATGGACGCACATACCCAAGAACTGTAAAAATAAATAAATTATAGTAATTTATCAGGGGATAATCACCAAAATGTAAAAACGGCTGGCCATATCGAAAAATAGCTAGGCGAAGAGAGTTTGAATAAAGGAAGTGAACTGGATAGATTGGCCATAATCCCACCTGATGTTATGTGAGATGTGGCCTATTGGAGGGCACGCTAGTCCAAGAAATGCCTTTACAGAATAATATTTGATCGTAGATATGCTTGAATAAATAAAGATTTAAGTTTGCGCCTGGTAGATAGTACCGGTGACTTCTGGTGGTGCTTTCCTCGCTCAACGTATTAGGCTGCTGCCTCGAATTTTGCGGGCAGCGGGGCGGCGGCAGCTGCGGCGCGGGAGCGGGCGATTGCACCACTCGTTACCCGCCCTCGCGCCGCTGCGCGCTGCCACGCCGCTGTTTTCGAGAACCGGTCCATTTGATTTTACGCATAAGATCCTGCCGCTCCCGCGCCGCCGCCTCCCCGCTGCCCGCAAAATTCGAGGCAGCAGCCTAAGTATCGCAATACAGCGAGGAAATGTTTCCAGTGTCTAAGGTGCACTGCCACAGGGACCTAACTTTTTAAATTTGTTTTAATTTTCTTTTTATTAATTTTTATTATTACTATGTAGATTAATAAAATTGTAATTACTGTATATTTGATTGTTATGTTTAGGTAATTTTTAAATGAATAATATGTTAAATAATAAAGAAAATATTATTATTAATATAGACGTGATATCAATAATTTAGCATTATAATTTTGTGATCATATGCAATCGTTACATTGCCAACATAGCGACAAACACACATTAAACACATACTTACTATTCTTGCGTCCGCGCATACAGAATGCATAACAAAACATACATTATTACGACCAATCATAAAATCATTTACATACTGCTAGACCTAACCAGCGCTGGTACTCTGTAATTTCCATAAGCGATACTGACGTTTCTGTTCGTTTAATTTAGTTCTGCGTAGCGATGATGTTCCAATACAAAATTACGATTGGAGTTGGGAGGTTTCTTTTGGAAGTTACAGAGTCCATATGCAGATCTCCACAAATCAATGTGATTTTGAAAGATAAATTGATAAATATAAATACTTAAAATTCTATATTAAATTTAATAGAAATTAAGTTACAGAATGATTGGTAATTCGACGTATTACCGTTAGGAGGTCATAGGGCCGGGCCATTTGTGTTTATTTTAAACCTAATAAATTTTAGGTTTTTCAAAGTCAAAAATGCAACTTGAATTCAAATCTTATTTGTCTTACTATTTATACAACGATTGAACGCTGATTATTTATCATTATAAAAACAAAAAGTATCGTTCATAATCATTGATATACAAAAAACCCAAGATGCACAGTCTCGAATAAAAGTAACGCTCGAAAGTGTCCCGAAACACTATTTCTGTCCATAACAGTATATGTTACAAGCATATATTATTGCAAAATCAACCTTACGCGAATTGCTTAAAGTTGTTATTACAACGCAGTGTATACGTACTTAAAGCAATAAAATTTTACGACCGACCGTGGTCGGTAGGACAAGGTATTGAGTGGAGTCGAACATGACTTTTTTATTTACAACTATTTAACATAATTTTAAATTTATCCGACTTTTCGGGTGCTTTACAGCGTGAGTGGTCACGGTGACTGAAGACAAAAGGTGTTGGATGTTAAATAGTTGTAAATTTATAATAATACATAACATTAATCCGGTTAAAAAGTTTTTTCTTTAAATTAAAAAAAAATGTTAAATTGGCTACCTCCTGACCCACACTTTATATAGCGTAAATATATTTGTCAAAAACTACGATTTTTGTGCACTTTTTAGTGTTGCATCGAATTACTAATAACCCTGTATAGCCAAATAAACTAGGACACCGCAGTGCTCGCAATTCTGCTTCGCTTCAGCACAAATTTGAGCGGAGCGAGTGTTCAACTCAATTTTTAATTATGAGTAAAAATACATAGATTCAAAACTTTTAATTTAAGGATTTGATTTTGTTGAAAGGACTTTTTAGTTTTAGGTCTCCTTCGAAGTTGTTTTTCCGCTTATTTTGTGATTACGGGAAATTTTTCCATCTTTAATTTAGAAAAAGAATTTTCAAAATCGGTTAAGCCGTTCAAAAGCCTTAGTGTTTGTACAGAGTGTCATAAGAGTGGGCGCATCGGAGCTTTGCTCGCTCCGCTCAATTCAGTCTTTTTTCAACCTAATATAACAGTTATTAATAAACCTACTTTCATACACCTATATTGTTCCTTATTTTTAAGACACTTATAATAATAGATGCAGATACAAGTATGGGATACAACTTGAGCTAAAGACGGCACCACATCGTAGCAGTAACCGGGAATCTGGTCACAGAACTGCGTCTGGAGACACGGTTTATGACCGGTGGAAGCTGACAATGACGGAATGCCTTGAAGAAACGCTTCAAGACGCTCCGGTAAAAAGGCAACAGACGACCGGGGCAGTGACGCCGTGCTTTCGCACATCTGCTCTAAGAAAACGTGTTGAATGCGTGGGAGGAGTCACGGTGTGACATTCGCGTTTGGTGGAGGGCTCAGCTGTTACCTGCCTCCGCCCATTGGAGAGCTGAAGGCATCCGTCAGGTTTAGTGGGTATGGTTGAGTCCCACATAATCCCGGCTTGAGCAAAATGCCGCATGGATATGCATCACCTAACGTTAAATAAATCAAGGTTTATACACCGAGGTTGTGGTACACCCAGGTGGTGGTACACCCACCACGAAGACCTCGTGCTAATGCCCACGAAATAATCAATAAATTTTGTTAGAGCCCATTAGGTTTTGAATAACAAGCATTTGGAATAAACAGAAAAACTTTCGCGAGAATTTCTAGATTCTAATTACAGAATCTTAAATACTAACTTCTGAAATTTGTCCTTAAAGGTTCGAGGGTGGGTTTATTCATATCCCTCTCATATAATTCCTTGGCAACTTTCATCAGCTCCGTGTCTTTGATGTTGAGCTTCGGAGCCGGCGGTGGTGGAGCCTCTTCAACTTTCTCTTCTGTCTTGCGTGGACGCTTTTTCTCGCGTGGTTTGAATGGGCGTGTTTTGAATTCTATAAAAATAAATTATCAATTACTAAATAATTGTATAGAGTGTTGGTCTAGTGGCTTCAGCGTGCGTCTCTCGAGGTCGTAGGATCGATCACCGGCCGGCACCAATGGACTTTCTTTCTGTGTGCGCTGAATGTTAAATACATTCGCTCGAACGGTGAAGGAAAACATCGTGAGCAAACTCGTGAAAAAAGTCTTGTCTTAGACCCAAAAATTCGGCGTGTGTCATAGGGGGCTGATCAGTAGGAGATTCGGACACTAGGGATCAAACCTACGACCTCATGGATGAGAGTCACACGCTGAAGACACTAGGCCAACACTGCTCATCCTTGTACTATATAATTGATAATTCTGGAGACAAAGACCAAATCGTATTTACGTACTGTAAATACGATTTGGTCAAAAGCAATTATTCATGAGAACAAAGCTGGAAAACAATAAATGTTGTATGCGGATGTTTGTCATAACGTTGACCGAATTAAGCCAAATGGGAGATCAAAAATAGTATTGCATATATAACGAGACATACATTGTGTATAAGAGGTATTGATTACAGGAGAAATCGTATATTGAATAGTAAACAAATTAAATAGTTCTAAGTAGATGTTGGCCTAGTGGCTTCAGCGTGCGGGCAGGAGGCTCACCTGCCTTGCGATTCTGTAGCTCACTTTTCGAACTCACACAGCGGTTTTCGCATCGGCGGTCGCTTTCAAATCAGTCGTGAAGCAGTCATTTTATGATTTGGCATTCTGATAAACAATAAACTACAAGCTTCCAGCTTATGTTAATGTCCTCGATAAATGCAATATTTGATTATTTCGTACTCCTACAGGTAACATAAATTATATACACTTGGCGTCAAAAAAATCGCACCTTTCCTAAAATTCGTGTCAAGCGATTATAACTCCGAAGATCCTTCCTGTACCCTATCATTGTTAGTATCATTTGAAAGCTAATGAAATCCCTTATTTGAAAACTGTAGGAATTTGGCCACCACCCCCATAAAAAAAGAAAATTCTGGGAATATGTGAAACAATGTGTATTCTGAGCAAAATTACAAATAAAAGGAACAATACAAAAATTAAAAATAAACAATGACAATCCTTAAAAACTTGTCTTAAAACCTAGTGTTGCCTCCTCTAGCCCTCCGACCAGCTTCCAAGCGGTCAGTCATGGACCTTATGAGCATCACGACGTGTTCCTGGGGAATGGTGTCCCACTCCTCGATGCCGGCATCTCGAAGCTCATCGAGAGTGGCAGGAGCTGGATTACGGGCCCGAACTCGCCGTTTCAGCTCGTCCCAGAGGTGCTCGATAGGATTGAGGTCAGGGCTTCTTCCTGGACAGTCCATAACCTTGATGCCAACTCGACGTAGGACTACCTACGACAATCAAGGCTGTGTGGCACCGGGCGTAGTCGTGCACGAACTCGAAGTTGGCGCCGACAAAACCTGCACATGGGACCACATGCTCCTCCAAAACCTCGGTGATATACCGGTAGGCAGTCAGAGACCCCTGGCCGCGACCATCTCCAGCTCTGGAGACGCACACGAGGTCTGTCTTGCCGTCGATAGAAATGCCGCCCTAGAACATGCAGGATCCTCCTCCATACCCGACGGTTTCCACGATGCAGGCTGGTGTGAAACGCTCCCCTGGTCGCCTGTAGACTCTCTTACGCATGATGTTGGTCCACAGGCACACTCGGGTTTCGTTGGAGAACAGGACATTCCTCCACTGGTCGAATGTTCGCGGCACGTGCGTTTCGTAAAATCGCTTCCTTTTCGTCCGGTGGATGCCAGTCAATTGGGGGCCTGTAGCAGCTCTCCGGGGCAGCAAATTCTTCTCTCACGGCCTTCTTCTGATAGTGGAGACGCTGTCAGCTGTCCTTCGAGTAGCTCAAAGCCGCTGCTGTAGCTCCACAGCGTTGGAGAAGCGGTTCCGCAAAGACGTCGACACAATGGAGCGATCACCTCTGACGGTAGTGCAGCGACGTCTCCCAGATCCATGTCTCCTGATGTAACCTCCAGTCTCTTGGAACCGTTGATATACCCGTTGCACTCGAAATCGGCTGATTTTCAGTTGCCGAGCAACTTCAACCTGCCGTAGGCCGATTTGCTGTAGGGCCACCACTTGAGCTGCTTCTTTGCCATGGTATCCATTTTCACTGGGTTTTTTTCTTGTCGAAGCTCTTCAGGTGTGACCTCTGTAACGTCTGGATAGCGAATAACCCATAATTGACTTTTACTCCCTCGTTTTATACGCGTCCAGGGTGGTACAATTAGTGAGCCTCCAAACGCGTACATCGCCACTTTTTAATCAAAGTGCTGGCGATTTGTGGTTTTAGATTTTCCGTAAACAAATGATTATTTTTTTGAAAGCTTATTAATTGAGCTTTTAAATGATACTAATAATGATAGGGTACAGGAAGGATCTTAGAAGTTATAATCGCTTGACACGAATTTTAAGAAAGGTGCGATTTTTTTGACGCCGAGTGTATAATAAAACACAATTATAGTAAAAATATAGCCAACGATGGAACATATAATAAACAAAAAGGTTCATACTTTTACAAAAGGAAAAAAAAAGTGTGTGTGTCAGCTACGACGCACGATTGGAGTTTACTCCTTACGAACGATAAAATGGCGATAATGTGGCTGTCGACCATATTTTCATACTAAAGGTGGTAAGAATATATGTTTTTATAATATAAATGTTTGTAGTAGTAATAAAACGTACCTACATCATCTATGCCCAAATAGGATTTTCTTTCTGTGACCAAAGTTACCTTTATAGTAAGAGAAGCATAAGAATGAACAATCTTTTTAGTTTTAATTCCACTGACCATTACTATTGACAAAACTCTATGGCACTACTTTTATTTTTTACACTTGTCAACACTGACAATGTAACGTGGCTGTCAAAACGTGAATTCAAAATAGAAAAGTCTGTGTAATGTATTCCATCTCATTCTTTTACACGTTCAATCCATTTGTTTCTTTCTACGTAACGCCTCAACTTTTCGTGTTACACTTGATTTTCCTCCTCATAAAATTTCCGTACTGGGCCTTATAACTCAAATCGTTTCTTAAGGAGTAAACTCTTTATGTTTGTCTCTTTCTACATAACGCCTCAACTTTTCGTGTTACGCTTGATTTTACTCCTCATAAAATTTCCGTACCGGGCCTTATAACTCAAATCGTTTCTTAAGGAGTAAACTCCAAAAATCAATAAAATTTAATACTATCTAAGCAATACCTAATTCGGCTGTGTTGTGTGATGGTGTAAAAGTGACGGTGTGTTCGTGGTGTTCTCATGATGCAGGTGATTTAGCGCTATGGATATTCTTAAGAATATTCCGCTTCAATAGTTGTCGTTGTATCAGCAATATCAAGCTAATATCTCAGCTAAAAGGCCGGCAACGCACTCACGAGCCCTCTGGCATTATTTAGATTTATAAGTATAAATATTTATACCTTGTGAAAGATGTGCGCAATAGTCGTTGAAGTATGTCGATTGGCCGCGAAGACTCCTCATAGTGTCCTTTATGAATTTCTCTATCTCTTCCTCGGACCATGCTTTCTAAAAAATAACAAAAGGGTGCGTGTACTTATGTACGCGCGTAAGAAGTTATACTTCTTTGGCATTATTAAAAATAGTTTTTGATTGCATGCAAATAATTAATTACAACTAAATAATCAAAGACTGGAAAAGGAGTCATTATAGTCAATAAAGTTCAGTTTACACTTGAAAAATTAAATAAATAAATATTTATTATTATAATATTTATTGTTATGTTCTAATATTAATTAGTATTGATTTAAATATTTAATTTAAATCAGTTCTGATTATAATTCAGACGCACATATAAAATTCGCACTTGTATAATGAAAACACGTTTTAAATGTAGAAACTCAAAGCATGTGGATAAATATTATAAATATAAATACACAGTGAACAGAAGCGGCGTGCGTGCCAACATGCGCCACTAACTTCATTCTGTTAATTTTGTGTCACGGTGCGCGTGCATCGTAAAATTTCACTTTCATAAATTTTTCATAACGCGCCTAAAGAAGTATTACTTCAAAAATATTTAAATAAGAGTTATTCTTACATCTTCTGATCCTACTTTAGGGTCCAACCACTTGCCTTCGAGTTGTGCCCAACGGTTTTCCGGGCGACACCTGCAAATTATTTATATCAATACTAGTGGACCCCACAGACGTTGTCCTGCATGATATTTAAAGCGATTAGGATATTAAGCAAAGTATGAAAGTACCGACTGCAGTGCCATCTGCCGGGCTGATTTGTGAATCTAAACCATTCCCAGATCCCCTTGAACACACACAAAAAATTTCATCAAAATCGGTCCAGTCGTTTGAGAGAAGTTCAGTCACATACACACGCACACAAGAAATATATATATTAAGATTTATTTCGCGATAACTCCAACTGATATAACCATCAATGAGATCAAAAGAAGAATAGAAAAGGAACACTGAGGGAGATCATGAAACCAACAGACAAAAGAGAAAATTCTTTAACACCTGTATTCTACCCTACTTTACCTATGGCTGCGAAACTTGGGCATTCTCTTGCCAGCACAGGGACGTGCTAGCACACTGCCAAAGAGCCATGGAAAGAAGCATGCTGAAAATTAGAATGTTAGACAAGCAAAAAACACAGACAAGAGCTAGTACAGGTGTGACAGACATTCTCACTAAGATAGACCAAATTACATGGAGATGGACGGGTCATATGCTAAGGAGCTCCCATGAAAAATGGAGCAAAATATTGAAGGAATGGTACCCTAGAGACGGAAAACAAAAGAAGGTGGATAACGCAAAAGATGGGAGGACGAACTCAAATTAACAGTAGGCTACAACTGGAGAAGAGTCGCAAAAGATAAAGAACAGTGGAAAGTGTTAGAAGAGGCCTTTGCCAAGAGGCACACCGAACTCCGAGATATACTGTAGTGGAAATATATTAAAGATCACTGCCGTGCTATTCTGTTAATCCGTGAGTTCACCTCGCACTAACAACGCTCCCTTCATCACTCCGTATTCCGTTAAGCAATTTCACATTACGTCTTGACAAGCGGAGGGAGCTTGTAGTTTATTGTTTATCAGAATGCCAAATCGTAAAATGACTGCTTCACGACTGATTTGAGCGCGACCGCCGCCGCTGCGAAAACCGCTGTGAGAGTTCGAAAAGTGAGTTACAGAATCGCAAGGCAGATCACAGAGTTTCAGAATATATTATTATTATATCTAATATATAAAATTCTCTTGTCACGGAGTTTGTTATTAAACTCCTCCGAAATGGCTCGACCGATTTCCGTGAAACTTTGTGTGCATATTGAATAGGTCTGCAAATGGGACGACATCTATGTTTCATCCCCCTAAATGTTAAGGGTGGTCGCTAATTTTTTTATAGACGAAATTTTTATTTTTTTATACAAAAAAATATGCAACCCTTAATTTTCACCCCTCTACGATCAACCCCAATTTTTTATTTGTAAATTAAAATCTTACAATGGAAAACCGAACAGTCTATGGGGTAGCATAGCAAAATGATCCATGTTGGTATTTACTAAAAAGGGTAGGCTAAGTAAAATCACATTAGGGAGAAACGAAGTTCGAAGCAGCAGCAACTAGCAGCTAGCCGCTATAAAATCCGGTAACAACTTTTGACAACAGTCCAAAGCGTATTGGATTTTGATTTACGGGACTCACTATCTTACTTTAGTCAAAACCAAGAAAGTGTACTTTTACGCGAGTAGGTGATCAGTCTCAGGCCGGGAGATAGTGACACAAAATAGTGAGTTATTTGTACCAGTATGGCGGTTCTTCAGGGGTCTTATTACGCAATGGAAAAAAGAAAAATTATGGTCATAGCGCTGGTACCGGCGGCCCAGTCGCGTGGGCGTTAGTCGAACTCGTCGGATTAATTAATGTGTCAAACGATTTGTTACACAAAAATTCTAGTATTTTCCGATAGTCTATAAAAAAATAAGAGGCGGCAGTGTCATGCCATACTTTTCCGGTGTGACTTACCCCTATAAGACCCCTGAAGAACCGCCATACTGGTACAAATGACCCACTATTTTGTGTCTCTATCTCCCGGCCTATCTTCTGTGCCTAACTCATGCCGATTTTTATGTCTTATGCATGCCGGTTCCCACACTATATTGTTAGCATTAGTTTGTTGACAAAGACAATATAGAATCATAGCTTAAAGGGCTGCTCACGACACAGGAAATCCTAGTTCACTTTATTGTACATAAAAATCCTTTTTATTGTGTATATTAAAGTTTTTTCTATCTATCAGCGTAAAAGCATGTGCCACTAGTTATCAGCTACCAACATATATTCACTATATATGCAAGTCTGCGTGACATCTGAAACCTTTCCACCAGCAGTATAAGTTTTTAACTTCATATAATTTGCTTTCAGTTAATGAAATTTTCTAAATCAATTCAATAGCTCAAATATATATGATATGTGACTATCCATTGCCCACTCTACTTTATTCCAATAGAAACGGTTATATCACGAATATATATATTATTATGCTCCTTGCGAAAGTTACGGCCATACTTACGTTACATCCCGTGAGACAAAAACGTTAAATAATTGCACATATATAAAATAATATATCCTCGACTCAGTAGTTCATGAGAGTACTACAATCTACATACTTTACTTGTAATAGTATATGTTACTTACATTTGTGTTTTCCTTATAGGATGTTGTCGATATTCATCGAAATATTCTGTTAAAAAGGACATTTTCCACTCAGTAATTTAATATTTTCACATAAAAATCTAAACGCGTTGAAATATAAATAAAACGATTACAAAATATCAAAACGTCTTAATAAATTTTGTAACAGATTATAAAATAGTTATGGTTTTTTAGAATCGAAAAAGTTCTTATTGAAAATAAATGGCGTATTGCAGTTTTAATAAAATTTACAAGTAAATGTTTTTAGATTACGATTATATACGGAAACGTTTCATGTTCCCATTGGAAGAACATTATCAACTGATGTTTTGTCTAATTTCGATTCTTTCATAAAGTCGTGCTTTCATGGCATTGCATGTTTTGCGACTTGCAGATGTGTACAACGTTTTAATTTTCAAAGAATGTGGATTGTGGACTGATGACTTGATAGAAATACCAGGAAACGACCAGACTATTGCTAAAGATAGAGATCTGGAAAGGGTTGAAGACGGCCTTCACTCAAGAAGGGTACACATGTGACTTACATACATAATTGACATAATTAAATAAAAAGGAGGGTACTTGGCTATCGCTTTCGAGCGATCTCTTCCAGGCAACCACTGTGAAAAAAGAATTCGATAAGGTAAGCAAGAAGTGCAAAAATACATAATACATATAGTTATTTACAAAACTAAAACTGGAACAAAAAACAAAACTAAAAAGGGAAGAGTGGAATTTCGCATCTTCGTCATCTTAAGAGGAAGACATGCTATCACGATAAAGTCAGCCTGCGTAATGACTCTTTGTGCCGTCTCTTCGCCTCTTTGATATAATTTAAGTCGTATCCGTGCCTTATCTGTTCCACGCCGGCTCTGCGCCTGCGCCGCGCCTTCACCTTACACCTTTTCTGTATCGCGCCTTAGGGATGCGAGGTGGGAAGGTAATGTTTATTTATTTACATACAAAAAATCAACCTTATAAAAAATCATACATATAAAAAAAAGCAGGTTGCATAAGTTATTAGGTTATAATGTTTGTACAGTAGAGATTTAAAGGAAGGAAGAAGGATATCACTACTAACATTTAGCTATAAGTAAATACTAACACATTTGAAATGGAAAATAAGGATATGGAAATAAAAAATGCTTTATTATCCCTGCAATTACGAAAAAGATTTCATTTGAATGAAAATAGTTGACGAACCCTGCCGTATAAAACTCATAATAACCAAGTCGTACGTACAATTTTTATCGTCGGCCGCAGACTGCGGCAGCCATACCACGGCCGTGCGACGTAAATCGAAATGATATTTTTGGATAGCACTAATTTGTCGTGCATTGAAGGTCATTATACACGGTTCACATGACAGATGATTGATTTAGTAGTAGGTAATCATTTTTTAATTTATCGTTGGAATGATACAGCTCGCAAACATAAAATTATGATTAAAATAATGAATATTTTCACAATAATTATAGTGGCGTAACTATACCATCTGGGGCCCGTGGCAAAATCTTTTGATAGGGCCCTATCAGTAAAAAAAGTCACGTTGTACTCAGTTTAATTTTAATAAACTTCGAGGTTTTCAGCGTACTCAATTACACATTGTATAATTTATATGTCCCACTAATGGCCATAGGTCTCCTCTGTTAGGCGAGAGGGAATGGTCTGTAGTCCCCACGCTAGCAGTGTTGCCCTAGAGGCTTCAGCGTGCGCCTCTCATACCTAAGGTCGTAGGTTCGATCCCCGGCTGTGCACCAATGGACTTTCTTTCTATGTGCGCATTTAACATTTGCTCGAACGATGAAGGAAAACATCGTGAGGAAACCGACATGTCTTAGACCCAAAAAGTCGACGGCGTGTGTCAAGCACTGGAGGCTGATCACCTACTTGCCTATTAGATTTAAAAATGATCATGAAACAGATTAAGAAATCTGAGGCCAAGACCTAAAGAGGTTGTAGCGCCACTGATTTATTTATTTTAATGGACATAGGCCTCCTCTATTAGGCGAGAGGGAATGGTCTGTAGTCCCTACGCTAGCCCAATGCGTATTGGAGACTTCACATTCATCCATAGAACATAATATCTCTTGGGCAGAGGCACTCGTAGGTCGGGAGCCCGTGGCATTTTGCCAGCCCTGCCACCCTTTTGTTACGCCACTGAATAATAATGATTATAAGTATCTTAAAAGGCAACAAATTGTCTTAAGTTTTTATAGGAAGGTTCTCAGCCCATGGACACCCATTTGAATGGGTGCGTTGCCGGCCTTTGAGGTAGGAGTATGTTCTCTTTTTAAATGAGTGGAGGTCGTATCCCCCAGCGGGAGTCTATTAATTATTTGCGTTTTACGTGCCTGACAGTCGTTGATTCTTACAACTTACTATTCAAGAGTATTTAGAGAAAAATTTGGATTTCAAGGAAGAATAATGCCTGCCACACACGTTGTTCGAATCGAACTGCAGGCATTGAAAACCCGCAATGCGGAATAGAAGGCTATAAGGTCCCTGAATCATCGAGCGAGAAGACGCAAAGAGAGAGCAATGGAGACATCGGGATCCTTTACAGCCGTTGCGTGATCCCAGGTTTTGATATAGCTCCACCCTAAGACAGGAAGAATGCAAGAATGAGCAAACCATGGCCGAGATTTACCACGAATGGAAACCACAGGGCATACATTTAGCATTCCATTGTCTGTAGCACGACGGCGACAGACTCGGAGCTGGCATCAGGAGTACTATGTAGCAGACTTGTAACCTGAAAAGAAATGACGCAAGTTATCCCCAATTAGCCGATTTGTAACGTCTGACACGAAGGCGTGCTAAAAACTGCAGGCGGGATCAACGCTTTATTCGGACTACGGTATGCACCAGGCAGTGGTCGAAGATCCCAAGTAAGCGTCTACAGTAACCTCGTAGAAGTCTAGGTGAGAAGTCAGCATAAGATCTTATATTTGCTATTTATGAAATAATAATTTATTGAAATCTCAAATGACGAATTGTAAATTAAAATGCCACGTGTTTTTATTATCGAAGAAATAAATTTAACAAAAATAATTTGTATTAACTTTCGACACTTAATATTTTAATGACAATTAAATTCCTAACATATCTTCCTTTTTCTGCCCTCTAAGTCTCGGAAATCTAAAGTTTTAGATTTGTATAAATATGAACATGTGTAGGTACCAAGTACGCACGCACTTTTTTTTATATTGACGACTTGAACTCTGAGGTTTATATGGAGACAAAAAACAGAACAACATGTCCGAAAAATTTAACATTCTTGAGAATGTTAAATTTTTCCCCTACTATTTTTACCCTATTGATAGGGTAGCATAGCAAAATGTTCCACTGAAAGGTAGACTACGTAAAATCATATTAAGGCGATACGAAGTTCGCGATGGCAGCTAGTTTTTATATGAAGACTTTTTATAAATCATAGATATTTCGCAGCCAATTAGCTTAATTAGCCGTTCCACAGCCTAGCCGTTTAACTAGCGGCCTGAATTATATTCATCCAGTTGATCAAACAGCTAGGCAAATGACTTGGATCGATAACGTTTCATTACTTGCCTACCCTTAATATTTAGTTCCATTTTCTGCCATCTAGCGGCAAGATTTGAAACTCTTCAAACTGTCAATATGGCGTCGGCAAACCACAACTTTGATGGTGTATTCCAAAGTTCAGAACAAGTATAATGAGTGTAATAATAATTTAGCTGTGACTGACTCAAGCAATTCATTTTTTTATTTCAGATGTTCTATCTTCTATATTTATGACACATAATCACTCCTGGCCTAAGCATTAGCCAGCCAGTTTATTAAATGTTGTAACAAACGCTACGAGAATGTCTTACAGGCCGCTAGTTAAACGGCGCTGTTTAGTTAAAAGGCTAGGCTGTTAATTGAAAGGCTTATTAAGCTAGTTCGCTGCGACAGATACATCTTTGTTGCAGTTGTAACGGTGAGTTCGAACTCCATGAAATAATGTTAAATCAGGCACAAAAACGATGAAACTCTTCAAAGATAAATAAAACAATGAATATTAAAATTAATTTATTTTTAAACATATTCGACTTTTACATTAATAAATGGACAATATGGGTATATATCTAAAACATTCTTGAAAAAGAAAGATTTAAGACCGTATAGGTACTAATCATTTTTATTAAATGCTTATAGTTCTAAAGAACTTTACAAGTATTTTCGTTCGCACTATAAACGCATTTTAAAGGCTTTTGGCCTTTTTTTGGCCTCGAACAGTAACAGTTAATGGACCGCCTGGTGGAATAGATAGCACGGTCGCGTTTTTTTGTTTAATAAACTCAAACTTGAACTGAATTGGATGGATTTTTGTATGTTAAGGCTTTTTTTATGTAACAGGGCGCGAGCAAGAGGCTCTCCTGTTGTCAAGTGATACCGCCGCCTATGGGCACTTGAGAAGGCTCGCAAGTACGTTTCCGGCCTTTAAAAGTACTTTCATATAAATGATTTGATCGCAAAAAAATTACCACAAAATTAACTTGTTTTCACTTTTGAAAACTCTGTGGTTAACTGTAAATAACGCAATCATTTTAAAACACCAGTTAACAAATTTGCCGCCATTTTGGTTTTCAAGAGAAAGATATTTATAGCATAAATAATAAATATAGTAAAAAAATATAGTGAATTTATTAGATCAGAATCTTAACTGACGTCAAAAAAGGGGGGTTCAAATATTTAACTGAAATAATTAATACAAAATGTATTTACATATTTTATTGTACTTTAAATGCAAATGAAAATGTCGAACTTATTTATCTATTATAACTAGCTTATAATTAAACACGACCGATTTTATAACTACCCTCATTGTGAATTTTGAGACTACCCTCATTTTTGAAAAATCGATCGTCAAATCCAACACCTAACAGAACGCAACATTTAAAACGCTACTTATAAAGCAATCTTAACTTTGAGATTTATATTTGTTATTAACACGTGTATTAATTGCGTTCTGTTAGCTATAACTTAATTTTTGGTCAGCGGGCTTGATTAAGTCATTTTAATACTAATTGTATGTAACATACAATAATAACAAACAAAAGTCCTTTATTTCTTAACATTAATGATTTTAAGGCTCTTAAAATACATTATAGCGATCTCCTAATTAAAGAAATTATATATCTACGTAATAGGTAATAAGGCTTTCATTTCCATTCATTTGCCAAATACGAAATAATAATCATAATTTTACTTTGTCAAGCCCAACCAATAACTGAGATAGGAAGAGAGCTCGTAGGCAATTGAAGCATCTGTCCCTTTCTCTCACTCAACTCACAGATAGAAAGAGACAGACATATATGCTGATGACGGAAACACTAGTTTCTATAACACTGGACGTTTGATAATTAAAAGTGATAATAGATTTCTTATATACGATTTCGACGCGTTGGCGTTATATCATTAATAAAGGCCAACGCGTCGAAAGTCAAAAGGCCGATGTATCTATATACAAAAGGCCAACGTGTCGATAGTCAAAATGCCAACGCGTCGATAGTCAAAAGGCCAACACGTCGATAGTGAAAAGGTCGACGTATATATATGCAAAAGGCCAACGCGTCGATAGTCAAAAGGCCTATGTATCTATATGCAAAAGGCCAAGGCGTCGATAGTCAAAAGGCCAACGCGTCGATAGTCAAAAAACTAGTAATTCCAAAAGCCACCAGCATAATACCTCAAACGGTATTCCGCCTACACCCCCTTCCTTTTAACCGGGATTAGAACCTAGCACGGATGTACACAGCTGCCACGTCGTGGTTGGCGTAACCAAGTCTCTTCGCGTGTTTGAATATCTCATTTGTAGTCGCGGTGAGGGGCAGCGATTGTTCCAACGCGTCTCCGAGACCCAGCGCCAACTTCAGGTCCTTCTGCATGTGGCTGAGGGGCTGGTGCGTGGAGTATGACGACTCTATCATTGCTGAAAGTAAATACGACTTTTATTTACCGAATAAATTTATATTAAGTGGAATCTCACATTTTCTAAGACGATTCTTACTGGAGACAATTTTGAAAGCTCTTTTAAGAAATATTAAAAATTATTCTTTTTTATTTAAACATAATATACTTTATTCATTTTTGTTTCTTGATCTTGATAGATCCTGATAGATATTAAAATAAACAAATCAAACAGAATCCAAATAAAAAATGATTTTTAATTCCGTAGAATTCTGACATTTCATAAGTGTTGCTACTAAAAAAGTTTTCCACCGAAAAAGGGACACATTTGAGGGCAATATAAAGTAAAATATTATATAGTTAGTAAAAAAAAAAGCTGGCATCACTGCCTACTAATTCCAGGTTTAGTAAACCTTTTAAAAAAAATAAAATGTTATCTTTACTTGTGCGTTTTTTACTCTGTGATGAAAAGGGACGTAATTATCACTCGCCGTTAAACCAGTTTTAATGTGGAGCACCGCACTTAATAAAATGGACATCCACTAACAAATAAAATGTATGAATAGACCGATGTTCAGACTCGTATTGAAATTGAAAAATGTGCCTGGCCAAAAGGTTTGTAATCTCTGGCATGTCAAAAAATGATAGCTGTCAGAATCCTACGGAATTAAAAATCAGAGTGTAGAAAGTATTACATGGGGGCCTCATAGCCTAGCGGTCTTATTAAGTGGCAGCTAGGTGAGGGGTACCGGGTTCGATTCCCGGTTCGAGGGCAAGTTTTAATTTAATTTAAATTTGTTCTCGGCCTTTGGGAGGGTTGTGCGGTACCGGACGAGTGCCTAAACCGTACATGGAGGACATGATCGAATTTCTAAGGCAAAAAGCACGAATGATAAAAATCTCATACTTGACGCTGGCTAATGCACAAACCGTGCCAGAGCCATAAAAAAAAGTATTACATGTCCCCTTCAGAAATACGCGAGTACCCATTTTACCAAACCTACTGAACCAATTTCAATGAAAATTTGACTTTAAATATTTCTTTGTAATTTGTAATATCAAAAATTATCCAATCCCACAAATTAATAACCACCTTTTGAAATAGGTTCAAACAATTCTTACCTCGTCCCTTGAGTATCAAATGAGGGGAAGCCAGAGGTGTGAGCGCAAGAACATCCAACAAATCGGCCTGGTTGAGCCCCGCCCTGTCCGCCAGAGCCAGGCCTTCAGCCAACGCCGCTAAGGAGACCCCACCCACCACTTGCAGTACGGAATTCATTTTTGACGCGTTTCCTATATCGCCTAGAACAATTATATAGAGACTATAATAATAATAATAATTTATTCATTGCAAGAATATGGTACAAAAATGTGTAAGGTGGTACAATCGTAAGTTCGCATATTCTGCCACACAAAATGGGTCTAAAAATTTGTCTTTAAAGGAATTTAACATTATTAGTCACATGAATTCGTCAATTCTTATATTATCTGTATCGTACATATCATATTTTATTAAATTAATATCAACTACAGTGTCTCACGCAAATAATCATTTATTGAATAGTACATTTTTGCCAAATGTAATACACTAAGGCCCCGTTCACACGGCGATTATTTTCCCGTATACCGTATACGAAATTTTATCGAGTAGTGACAACAGAATATATATGAAAACTTAAAAATTGTTTACACGGCGTTCATACGGGAAAATCCCGTGTTCGAGAAATATATTTTACCGTATACCGTGCGAAGTGGTCACCGGAAACGCTGCGTCTCGAAACGATTTTATCGAATACGACAGCAGTGGCGCTTATGTTCATGTTGTCTCGTTCACACGACTCGCCCATTCGATAATCCTACACACTCGCACGCGTGGCCCGCAGTTGCCCTTGTGCGTTGCATCAGTCGGTTCTCAATATGGAGGACAGAATTCGAATATTGATCGGATTTTATTTCCTTGATCGAAAAAAAAAACGAATTGAATGGTCGCCGTGTGAACGTGGCCGAAACGAAATTCTTTTGGTAATTTATTCTAAACCTTAATTGCCATACAAAAGGTGTTTTTCCGAAACAGTTCCAGATTGATTTTCGGCACAGCCAATTTCTCCCCATGTCTACTTCTTACATCGACATAAAAATATGTATGTTTCTGTGCACGAATAAGGATATCTCTAAAATATTAGAAAACTTTCCGCCGCCCATGGACACTCAATGCCAGGGCTCACGATTGCGTTGCCGGAATTTTGTGGATTGATACGCTCTTTTTTAATTATTAATTATGATATTAATACAACTGACATAGAACGCACACAATTATTCACGATTACACAGAGACAGTTAAATTATTGTTTTTTTTAAAGCTAAACATAAAATCAGCTGTAAATTTAAAAAAAGGGTGCGTGTACTTATGTACGCGCGTAAGAAGTTATACTTCTTTGGCATTATTAAAAAATAGTTTTTGATTGCATGCAAATAATTAATTACAATTAAATAATCAAAGTCTGGAAAAGCAGTCCTTATAGTCAATAAAGTTCAGTTTAGATTTGAAAAATTAAATAAATAAATATTTATTATTATTCTCTTACATTAAGTGTAACATAAATTCTATTATTATTCGAATGTTGTTTTAAAATTATGACCAATGCCGTAGCATCTTCCGTGGGCAATTTCATTCTGTTAATTTTGTGTCACGGTGCGCGCGCATCGTAAAATTTCACTCTCATCAATTTTTCATAACGCCCCTAAAGAAGTATAACTTCAAAAAACACAGATGGCGCTGTTCATTATTTCGTAATATTTTATATAATTTTGTGAAGTTAATATTTTGATCTTGAAGAGGGCGTCCCACAAAAGGAAATAGAAGAAAAAGATGCGGTAGAAGTAAGCGAATGGAGAAAGAAAGCCATAGATAGAGTCAGTTGGAGAAAGCTGGAGGAGGCCTTTACCCGTGAAGGGGTTCCGATCGACGTAACTGAAGGTAGCTAGAATATAGGATAACCAGAAAAAATCTTTTCAAAAATGTTATTCTAGAAAGAAAAAACGACACTAACAATAGAAAAAAGGTATTTAATAAGAAAGTTTTATTATAACGCATTATCTAGTTAAATAAAGTTTATTTAAATATCACAAAAAAAATATTTCTACGTAATTAAAGAAATGGATATTTACTATTTAATTAACTGTCAAAGAAGTATAACTTCTAACGCGTGTACTTAGGGAGCGTTCGAGTATTAACTAACGAATTTTGGGGGGGTGTCCTTTTGTAAAACGTTACGATGCGGGGCGGGGATTGAATTACGCGTTATTGTTAATATTATTTTCGACTTTCCAGTCCTCTACACCACATAATAGTAACTAAAGAGTCACTAGGTGGTCACGACACGTTTTACTATACTTGGGTACAGTACTGTAATTGGGTACTGAAAAACGTTACGGCGAGTTACATGGGGGGGGGGGTCAATAATCTTCAAAAATTGCGTTACGTAATACTTGAACGCTCCCTTATCACACAACTCATCAGCGCCACCATTTGAACATCAATGTGAAGCAAAAAATAAATAAACAAAAAGCGGACTACTAACTACCAAGATAAAAGGAATTCTTGCTCATGGCCTTGAAGCAGGATTGGCAGTCGTCGAAGAGAGAGCGGTCTCCCGCGGCCAGGATTATCAGGGTTCCTTCTTCCGCCTGCGTCTTCGATCCTTGGATCTGGAAAATTTAAAAACCACATTCATAAAAGTACAAAATGGCGCTTTTAGGTTTCAGATCTTTTTGAAGTGAAACTTCTTTATCGACGTATGGGAAAAATTTTGTAAAAAATCGTCACTTTTTCGGTTACGCGCCATCTTTTTCTTGTCCCTACCACGGTTGATCCCAAGACCTTTTTTTTTTCCTTTATGGCTCTGGTACGGTTTGTGCATTAGCCAGCGTCAAGTATAGGATTTTTATAATTCGTTATTTTTGCCTTAGAAATTCGACCGTGTCCTCCATGTACGGTTTAAGCACTCGCCCGGTACCGCACAACCCTCCCAAAGGCCGAGAACAAATTTAAATTAAATTAAAACTTGCCCTCGAACCGGGAATCGAACCCGGTACCCCTCACCTAGCTGCCACTTAATAAGACCGCTAGGCTATGAGGCCCTTCCCAAGACATTCGAAGCCAAATAACAAAAATATATAATAACGATAACAATGATATTACAATGAATGAAATTCTGTAATAATCTTAGTAGTAATAAGGTTAAATGAAATAATTGTATTTGTATTCATGTCTACAATAATAAAAGCCTTTTGTTAAACTTTATCTAATTTAACTTTATTTAACCAATTTCTGTAAAGTTGAATATAGTAGATCATTTTTCGAAAAATAAGGTCATAAAGAAGTTTCACTTATTACGTGTGTACACTAGTACACGCATACATTTTATATATATATAAGTATTTATATATAAAGGGCAAACGGGTTAGAGGATGTTAAGTGCGTTGCCGGCGAAGAATTTGCGTGAGAAGTTACCTGAGCTTCGAGATACCGTCCCCCCTTCCCGCTGATGGCTTCTACGATATCGTGTGATGTGTCAGAGTCAATGGATGTCATCTCCACGTACCCCTTACCCTCCAATGTGGGGCAGTGGAGCACACCACAGTTTCCGAATACCATCTGAAATTGTAATCATTTTATTAATATATAAAGCAACTTAAATGCAATAAAATGACGTTTTTATTCATGTATATTGTTTTTTAACGTATTTTCAAATATTTAACTTTCTTTGTATGTGTATTAAATTATTGGCCTTTTTTAGTATTATATTACACATATAATTCTACTGTACGTGTGTATGTGACCGATTTGAATTATTTTTGAAGTGAAACTTCTTTATCGGGGTTGGAAAAAAATTTAGTGTAACATTTTTGCGTTACGCGTCACATTTTTCGGTTACGCGCCATGTTGCTTTTTGATGTCAAACTTCTTTATCGGCGTTGGAATTAAACTTCTTTATCGACGTATGGGAGAAATTTTGTAGCAAATCGTCACGTTTTTCAATGATAGTAATAATTCTATTACAATTAATGAAATTCTATAATAATCTTCGTAGTAATAAGGTAAAATGAAATATTTGTATTCATGTCTATGATAATAAAAGCCTTTTGTTAAACTTTATCTAATTTAACGAATTTCTGTAAAGTTGCATATAGTAGATAATTTTTCGAAAAATAAGATCTTATTTCTTAGTTTCACTTCTTACGTGTGTACACCTAGTACACGCACAATTTTTTTTTTGTATGCGTTTGGGTGGCGCCCTGGATGGTTTTGATTCACAAATCAGCCCAGCAGATGGCGCTGCTGGTATCAAGGTTATTTATCTATACAGCAAATAAACAGCTGGTATATATATATAAAGCTTCTGTGCATGTGTTCGTAATTAAACTCCTAAACTGATGGACAGATATTGATGATATTTTTTGTGTGTTCAAGTGGAGTCGAGAATGATTTACATTAGAGTCTGGCTTATGAAATAAAGTAACGAAATAGCGCGGCAAATTCAAAAAAATGTGTATGGTATCCCTGAAAGTTTGATATATTTTGTGGATTAAACTTACTTGATTTTATTTTATTATTTTTTACATTGATAGTAACTGTATTTCTATGAAATTAAATACTATACGTATTTAGTCTTTTACTATTGATACTTAAAATTAAAAATATATTTATGGTAAAACACAAATTTATTCGGAATAATCAAAATCAGAATCCAAAAAATCAATAAAACAAAGTTTAGGCTATTATACCTGTTAACTATTCGGAAAAAATATATAATAGAAATAAAAATGAGTAACTGCATCAAGTATCAAGACAATAAATCATACTAACCTAAGAAATTCAATGACATTCTGTGTTGCCATCCGAAAGTTTCCAAATAATTCAATAAATTATCTTCTTTCATTAGCCAGACTCTATTATTTTTTTTGTATGAAAGACGTGTACAGGACAACGTCTGTCGGATCCGCTTGTATATATAATAATATATAATTAAAAAATATTTAAAAAATATATAATTTATATTAGATTAATTGTATAAATAAAACAAAATAAATCAGTGAAGACTTTTCGTGAGTTCAGTTCGTAGGTTGGAGGGATGTTCAAATAAATGAAACTCTTTAATATATGGAACTAGGGCACTCACTAAAATGCAAACCAGGCAACTGAAGACATGCCAGACGGCGATGGAAAGAAGCATGCTAAATATCAGGAAGTCCGATAGAATCAATAATGAAATCATAAGAAACCACACGAAGATTGAAGACGTCACAACGAGGATACGAAGATTGAAATGTAAATGGGCTGGTCATATAATAAGATGTATAGAAAAGTGGAACAAAAAGATCATATATTGGTACCCAAGAAATAAGAAAAGAAAACGAGGTAGACAGTTTCGAAGGTGGGAAGACGAAATAAAATCCGTAACTGGGAAAATATGGACAAGGAAAGCTCAGAACAGAGCTTAGTGGAAAGAAATGGAGGAGGCCTTTGCAACAGATGGGTTGTCGGTGTCACGGACTCACTAGTGATAATAGTTTATGTTTAAAATTTTCTGTCTGAATAAAGGCTTTTATTATTATTATATATGTAACGTAACGACATATTGCAACACACCCACCCGATCACGACCTACAGTCGGCTGAAATACTCACATGCCCCATTATCTATTTTTAATTCCCTTAAAAGGTTTCGTTTTCTGGCATTAAGAGTAATGTGACCTGACCTTTAAAAATCAATTTTCAAATAGCTCACACAATATCGATTAAGTTAGTTTTCAAGGTTTTAATGTCTGATATATCTCCGTTATTCAATCATTGCAATAATACCAGGCAATTTTTTTTAATTTAATTTTTTACGATGCGCGGTGTGCGCGCAAGAATCACAAAAAACCGACACCCTGAAGTTAGCTAAAGTCAACATTTTATTTTGTGATATTTAAATAACCTTTATTTAACTAGATAATTCGTTATAATAAAACTTTCAATGTATTAAATACCTCTTTTCTATTGTTAGTGTAGTTTTTTCTACAAACGTACTTACGTCAAAGAAGTATAACTTCTAATGCTACACGCGTTAGAAGTTATACTTTTTTTTCTCATACTAGACAGACGATTGGACACAATCCCACCTGATGTTAAATGAGATGTTGCTTATTGGAAGTCATGCTTTTCCAGGAGATGCCTATTTACCCACAGCATAAAGTAACCCATATTAAACTGTCTACGGAAGATGGAAGGGAAGAGTTCCACTTCTTTGCTGTGAACAAGAAACGACGAACCAAATTGTGCAGTGCGGCCCTTAGGCCGTTTCTCCACTGCTCCGGTCCGGCAAACGTTAATTACCGATCCCATTTAGAAACTCACAACAGTATTTACGTACTTCTCCACTACTCCGGCATCCGGTTTTTAACGATCCGATAAGTTGCTAGATCGGAACGCGGTGTTTTATCGGTCCAAGTATATCCAAGTATCCAAGAGGTTATAAATTATTATTCACAGGTTTATTTATTGTTTGTTTAATTTGAAAGAGGAAACCTGGACCAAACCAAATTATGTTGCTATTTATTACATATTATGGCCGATTTACATTATCTTAGTGTTTAGGAGAGTGCTTTAGTACAACTTGAAAGGCAAGTTCTTTAGCGTAGCGTTTACTAAAGCAAGTAGCGTTTAAATGTTTCAACTAAAGTACTATCCTAAAGCACTCTCCTAAACACTAAGATAATGTAAATCGGCCTTTAATATAAGTCTTGCATGATAAATATGCAAGTATCGATTATTGTCGGATCGGATATAGTGGAGAAGCGGAATCCGGCCTTCCGATATTTTTATCATGACTCATTCCGGTATCCGACGCCGGACCGGAGCAGTGGAGAAAGGGCCTTAGGATGTCAACAACGAACAGGTGCAACTCCAGCGTGCTTCTTTAATTTATCAGACATGCACCACTACAAAACAGCTGTACCACAAATTGTGAATGTAAAACAAAAGACGAAATTATTTTCCGTTCAATTTTGACTAGTCAATTTTGGGTGTGGCAGAGAAAGAATAAGAGTACAATAAATGCCGAGAAAATGAGAGCGTTGAGAAGTATGTGTGGTGTAAGCGAGATAGAATAAAAAGTGAGATACGTTAGCAGTGTGGGTAAGAAGAGGACGAGACATGGATACGACAGGGAATGCTTAGGTGGTTCAGCCATGACTTATCCGCTACTCCAGAAATATCCGTGCTATTTATGGGCGAGTCGGAGCTGGCGGGATGACGGGATCCGTGATTTTTTTTTTTTTTATAGAACGGGGGGCAAACGGGCAGGAGGCTCACCTGATGTTAAGTGATACCGCCGCCCATGGACACTCTCAATGCCAGAGGGCTCGCGAGTGCGTTGCCGGCCTTTTAAGAATAGGTACGCTCTTTTCTTGAAGGACCCTAAGTCGAATTGGTTCGGAAATACTTCAGTGGGCAGCTGGTTCCACATAGTGGTTGATACCTTTTGTGCTATCTTACTGACATATTTGACACTTCTAAGGTAGAATTTGTTCAATCTTACCTCTTTAGCTGCCTGTGGATCTGCGACACACGAGAACGTGATGTCAGCTTCTTCTACGACATCGCAGGGCGTCACCGCTATTGTCGCACCAACTTTCTCAAAGTCTTTGCACTGTAACAATAAAGTTATTAAAATAAGTCACCTTTTATAGATCTTAAAGTCGATTTAATTGTATATAGTGTATTTCGAAATCTAATATAAATTATGTGTCACAAAAAACAATTATTATTAACAACAAAAGCATTAAAATTAACCAATTTTAAAAATTGTTATCGTTGGGAAAAACATTAATTCAAACATTTTTGAAGTGAAACTTCTTTATCGGGGTTGGAATAAAATTTAGTGTAACATTTTTTCGTTACGCGTCACATTTTTCCGTTACGCGCCATGTTGCTTTTTGAAGTCAAACTTCTTTATCGGCGTTGGAATGAAACTTCTTTATCGACGTATGGGAGAAATTTTGTAGCAAATCGTCACGTTTTTCAATGATAGTAATAATTCTATTACAATTAATGAAATTCTATAATAATCTTCGTAGTAATAAGGTAAAATGAAATATTTGTATTCATGTCTATGATAATAAAAGCCTTTTGTTAAACTTTATCTAATTTAACGAATTTCTGTAAAGTTGCATATAGTAGATCATTTTTCGAAAAATAAGATCATAAAGAAGTTTCACTTCTTACGTGTGTACCCTAGTACACGCACACATTTTTTTTAATCCGTCTGTCTAGCCGTGCGAAGACTGAACAGCCTAGTTTATTAATACAGTGCTAAGTTTATATGGTGAAGGATTTTTTTTTTTAATTTTTTAATTTATTTATAACAACACTCCTGCCCTAACAGGCCACCCCAAAGTGACAAGAGTGAACAAAAGCAAACATACAAAATCAATCAGGAAAAACAAAATTACATAATAAAAAATAAAAGAAATTAAGTAACCCCTACAGGCACTAACAAATAATAAAAGTTTTGCCAGTTTCACTCAACGTAGAATGAAAAAGGTCCGTTAACCTATGTAGTTCATTAACTAAATGAATACACGGAATCATATGTGCCCTTTTCAGAAGGTTAGTCCTAGCCGTGGGCACATGGAGTAACGGTGGACGTTGTCGCTTTCTGACGTACCCATCAGAGGTACATTAAAGCTAATGTACTGAAGTAATATTGTTAGGATAGCATTATTAGACCTATCTATATATATAAAAATGAAACCCGTTTTCCGTTGTCACCACATAACATGATAACGGCTTGACCGATTTGTCTGATTCTTTTTTTATAATATTCCTTGAAGTACGAGGATGATTCTTACGGAGAGAAAAATTAAAAAAATTGAGTGAAAAAGTCTAAAAACAACACTTTTCTATATTCCCATACAAAATATTCGTAATAATACTTAAAAGTCAATTTGCACTTTAATACCATATCATAAAGTTCAAGTGTTAGTGGAGGGGTTCCGGAAAGTAAATTTTTATTTTTTGACATAATGTATTTGTTGTCTTATCAACTTTCTTTTTTTATCTTACTAGCTAGTGTCCCGAATAGCAGAATAAGTATTAAAAAAAAAAATCTACTGTTAGGCGGTACGATGTTCGCCAGGCCAGCTAGTAAGTTTATAAATGGATGATTAAAATATAAATGCAATGACATTAAAGTTTGGCGCCATTAAAATCAACGAAGTCAATTACGTCATCGAAATTTATGCACAGAGTCATCTATCAACAAACTACAGAGTTAAGCTTCCACAAATTACCACTAGATGTCGCTACGCGTTTCCAAGGCTAGACTGATCAATAGCACGGCGCGCCACGCAACCGACGCGTCAACGACCGCGACGCCATTTTGATAACGGCGGTCTCCGCCACACACGGCGTCATGCACAAGTGAACACAAGGCACACATCTGCTGATTTTTACGTTTACAAAATTTCATGTATGTGTTTGACACACATTTTTACTAGAACATGATTAACCAATATTTTATCCCTATATTGCGTGCTAATTTAACATTCAAATTGCGATGTGCATTGGAAATTTTTATCTCCGTCCCATTCAAGGCCAATAAAGATTAATACAATAATCTACACATCGTTTGACAGAGCATTATTTGTTTCGAACGTGGCAGCGATGGAGTGACCAATACGTTTGGTAAGACAGACGAAACAAATGAAGGTCATGTGTAAATATACGTTTTATTCTAAACATCGAATATGCTGAGTAAGCAAAATAAAAAGCTAGTAAGTAAATGAAATTCGATATTAAAAATATGCTAATTGAAGCATGTATACTCGTTCAAATAATTTATAAGACACTGAGACGTGTACAACATATTAACATTTTCATATTTTAGGTAAGTAAGTATATAAAACACTTTTAGGAATGGCTATAACAAAATTTAGTAAAGATTTTAATGAAACGACCAATTTAAGTTGTTAAAGAATGACGCTACAAATATTGAATTAGGTTTTATAGGCAATGTATATTAATAAAACATACCAGTTGTATGCACAATTATAGTCAAACAAAAGGTTACAATGTACATTCTCTAAGTAAACAATGAAGACGTATCTATTGCTTATAATAGCGACAGTCCGAAACAAGACAATTACATATGAAAGCGAAATTCCTACATTATTTTATTCTTAACAATTTTCTGTTGTTTTTGTTGATTGTAGGAATTGCTTTCCAAACGGGTATGTTTATAAATAAATAAAAAAGGGTGCGTGTATATACGCGCGTAAGAAGCTATACTTCTTTGGCATTATTAAACAATAGTTATTAATTGCATGCAAATAATTAATTACAATTAAATAATAAAAAAAGGAGTCATTATAGTCAATAAAGTTCAGTTACCATTTGAAAAATTAAATAAATAAATATTTATGTATTATTATTCTCTTACATCTGTAACATAAATTCTATTATTATTCGAATGTTGTTTTTAAATTAAGTCCAATCCGTAGCATCTTCCGTGGGCAACTTCATTCTGTTAATTTTGTGTCACAGTGCGCGCGCTTCGTAATTTTAATTTAATCGTACTTTAAAAATACCTACGTTCTAAGGTCGATTTTAGTAAAGAAAATGAAATTTTAGTTGTCTGACGTAATATGCAATAATTATAAATTAATACGCCTTTATATATAATATAGTGACCGCCTCTTGCCAACACCACAGCTTGAATGCTTACCACTATTTTTTAATAAAGAAGAATACGTTCCTACTCTTCTGAAATGATTCGTTTTACATAATATGTCGTTGAGCATATCTTACTCCTCTCATCAGAACATGTAGAATATAGACGTAAACAATATGTCTTGATGTTTTTACACGCTATTTGCAACGGTTTAATTGACTGCCCTGACTTATTATCGCTTTTACTATTTCACATCCCTTCTTCATACGATACAAGGCAAACCTAATTATTTAAATTCCTCGGTCTAATACAGACTATTTACTTAACTCATATATCGTATACCTTTACCTTACTTTATTTTAGTTATAGGTTGTTACATGTTATTTTGTTTCACTTTAGGGTTGCCTGGAAGAAATCGCTCGTTAGCGATAAGGCCGCCCGTTGCCTAATAGCTTATGTAACCTGCTTTTTTATATGTTTTTTGTATAAAGTAACGAAGTGTAAATAAATAAAATACTATAAAAATAAAACGTGTGGCACTCGGGGACTGCCGCGGTAAAGCTATTGCATAGTTTTTTTTTCAACTTATGCAGTTATAATATGTATGCAGTTTTTTTTTTAATTAATTCAAGTTTTTTTCTTTGATAAATTAATTCAATCTACCACTATACCAGACTCAGACTAACTCACCTATATAGTCTGTCTCACTCTAAAGCGGCTGCAACGATCTCGTCAGAGAGATGTGAATACGGCGTATGTGTTGTCCTTCTAACACGTAAGGTTTTTTTCGTTACGGAATTTCTGGATTCGGTCTCCACGCTCGAGGCCCGCGATAGAAGCTATGCAATAGCTTAAAAATCTGGTATCCTTATTAGACATAATGGCGTTGTTATTCCTCTTTTATATTAAATATCTTATAATGTTCTTGCATCTTATTATTGTGTTTTTATGTGTATGTATATTCCGTTTCTGCTTTTGTGTATAAATTTATTTATTTATTTTTTCCATATCCTTATTCTATCTTTACAGTACCTAATTACTAATTCGACAGAACGACACAATATTACACCCACACCAATTAACCTAGATAAAAAACATTAAGAAAAATATATATTTATGTACCTAAATCTTATAACTAATAATATAGAGAGAGAATATATAAATTGTTTAGATATTTATAATAAGCAGCTGTAGGAATACTGATAAGCAAATAAATAAACATCCCAGACATGTTTCATTTGATTAAGAGCGTTGAGAGAATTTAATTTGGTCCCCGTTTGTCTTGAAAGACTTGATAATATTTAAGTATATATTTTGCACAACGGACCTAGTGAGAGTTGAGAGTCAAAGTGCGAAAACTAGGCCCACAAACCATACCATACCAGTATCGACTCATTGACGACTCATTGGTCTAATGGTTAGTACCCCTGACTCCGAAACCATGGGTCCCGGGTTCGATCCCCGGCTGAGACGAACATCGATGTGATGAGCATTTGGTGTTGTGCTTAGGTCTTGGGTGTTTAAATATGTATTTATATGTCTATCTATCTATAATATGTATGTATATCCGTTGCCTAATACCCATAACACAAGCTTCACCAGCTTAGCATGGGACCAGGTCAATTGGTGTGAATTGTTTTAAAAAAAAAAATCTATTAAGGACCGATCTGGTCGCCAAACTCCAAAAAAGTACATTGGGGATTGAATTACGCGTTATTGTTAAAGGCCGATTTACATTATCTTAGTGTTTAGGAGAGTGCTTTAGTACAACTTGAAAGGCAAGTTCTTTAGCGTAGCGTTTACTAAAGCAAGTAGCGTTTACATGTTTCAACTAAAGTACTATCCTAAAGCACTCTCCTAATCACTAAGATAATGTAAATCGGCCTTAATATTATTTTCGACTTTCCAGTACTTTACACCACATAATGGTCACTTTTCGGATTAAGAGTCACTGGGTGGTCACGAAACGTTTTACTATTAGGTACAGAAAAACGTAACGGCGCGTTACATGGGGAGGGGGGGTGCGTTACATCAATAAACTCCAAAAATTGCGTAACTATTGAACGCAAGTATAAGAAATTAATTCAATTCCTTAATTACTTTTTAGGCATATTATGTTTATAATACTAACTAGAGGCTATAACCCTGACTAGCGGAACATCGACCTTCAGGGTTTACTGAAAGTCAATGTTCCTGAAGATTTGGCAGAAGCAAATATTTACAAAGATCTAAGGCTACATATCCATTAAATCATCAGAGCTATTCAAGGCCACCCATTACGACAAACTATAAACTGTTATATTAAGTTGTTCAAAATGCTTTAGTAGTGTGATGTCTCTCGTACATCATAAATGTATTGGATTTTTACATTTGACTTCCATATTAAAATAGAATGGACAACGTCATATTAAAATATAATACTAAAAAGGTTTAGGCCATTAGACGAAGGAATGGCATTTATGGATTTAAGTGAGGTGAAAACGATCTCGAAGGTTGGTATGTCGCAATTCTGTCCAAATCTGCTCCATCTTTCTTTACATAATTTTTTTAAATTATATTTCATTATTTTATTTTACTTTATGTATTATGAATAAATAAATGTTATAATAACTTGGATTTCTTCAATAATAAGGGGCCGTTTAAGTATTACGTAAGCAGTTACTGCAATTTATCCCACACACACACACAACCCCCCCCCCCATCTTGTCAGCAAAAGTAAGCAAAGATCTCAAAAATAACAGCACATAAACGTATTAATTATTTGTAGGAATCCTCGAAAATGCATTTTGTTTCCAAGCATAGACAATGTGTGTGTAATATGTGTAGAAAAGTTAATCATTACTGTTGACGTAATCACAAAATAAGAGAATCAAAGACCCCCTCCCCCTATAAGTTTACGAAATATTTGCAAAGAAAGTGGTACATTCAGATCGATTAATTATAAATGACAATCAACCATATGTATGCAAATGTCATATTAATTATCATAATCGTAATATGTAATAAGAACAGAATCATGATTGTTGTCAAAAGGTATAGTCTAAATACTACACGAGAAAGGCAAGTTGCCTTTAAAAATTTAGTCACCTTTGCTGACTCAGGATTTCGTAGTTTCATACACCTAAATCGTCAGAGTTACGCAAAAGTATCGCCAGACGCAGGCAGTCTCTTCAACATTTCATTTGTATTAAATATTTTAATGAACATAGGTGCGTGACTCTCATCTCTGAGGTCGTAGGTTCGATCCCCGGCTGTGCACCAATGTACTTTCTATGTGCGCATTTTACATTCGCTCGAACGGTGAACACATCGCGAAGAAACCGGCTTGCCTTAGACCCAAAATGTCGACGATGTGTCAGGCACACGAGGCTATCAACATACCAACTTGTCTATTAGTTTATCATGAAACAGATATGGAAATCTGAGGCCCAGACCTAAAAAGGTAGCGCCATTGATATATTTGATTCCGTTGACCCAGTGACCGTAAAGAAATCATTGTAGAAGTTACTGTCTATGAATGATATATACATAATGTGGCTTTCATAGCGAACGATTACACCATATCTTTGTTACATAATATGTTATATATTATAGTTATGATATAATAACGGCAAAGTGAGTCATTTAACAAATACATAATTTATTTCAACACTTAATACGACGTCTACGGCTTTACTTTGAGAAGATTTTAAAAACCATTTCGTATTTAATTATATCTCTATATAAAATTCTCGTGTCACTATGTTCGTTCCCATACTCCTCCGATACGG